TTGTAGAGGATGAGGACCATGAAGGAGAAACACAACATATACTAATAGTCTTCATGGATGTGTTGTTTAATTTTACTGAGTGACCTTTTTTTCCCTTCTTTCTTTTTTATTCCTTATTATATGGAATGGCTGTCTAAGTAGTGGGTGGAGAGGAGGGGAGGCATATGCTGAGAAGTAAAGATGATGTAAAAGATATCAGTCAATAAAAATCTTATGAATGAATGCCAGTGTTCTGAGTCAGACTGCTGGCCAACAATGATCCTTGGTGGAGCTAAAATGAAGGCTTTGGATTCTGATAGCCACTAAGATTCCATGAGGTTGAATGTCTTCACTGTGCTGTTTTCTTTTGAATATGTATGTTAACTTTAATTTACACCAACTCCAATCATTAAAATAAATTGATCTGGGCAAAATCAAACAAAAATTACAACTATCCAAAAGTGGAATCATGTGTGCTGGGAAGCAGTGACTTCACTACCCTCCCTCATTGGATGACTACTTGTTGGACACATTGCAAAGGGGAATCTTATTCATGTACATATTAGACTAGAGGACCTCTAAGATCTTCACTAAATCTGAGATCTATGATACGGTTCCAACCTTATTCATACAATTCCCCTAACCCCAAATTTTAGCCAGTTGGATTACTTATAGTTTCCTCTATGCTGGGGTATTCCGTTTCCTACCATGTTTTAAAACAGGCTATTTACTCAAACTTCTGAAATATTCCATCTAGGTTACTCCTAGTTTCTTGGGGTCTGTACTTCTAATACCATGACTCACAAGTCCCTACTGGTTTGCTTGATTTTAACAGTCAGCCAGTTGACAGTTTTCAGTAAAGGCATTTATGGTAAATCAAACAACCCTGAGGTTTCACTTAACAACCAGCAAATTGGCACAGATGACAAAAGATGGGAATTGTCATTGTTGGAGGGCTTGTGGAAAGACAGGTACACTAACATATTGTTGATGGAGATGTGAATTGATCCAACCATTCTGTAAAGCAACCTGGAATTAGCTAAGAAAGTGACTAAATTCTTTAGCCTTTGACCCGGAGATTACAATGGTAGGCCTACAGCTCAAGGAGGTCAAAGATAGACCCCCATGTACACCAAAATTTTATACAGAAAGCAAATATAAATGGTATAGATACTCAGGTATTAGGTACTGGCTAAACAGATTATGGTAATTTAATGAAATGGAATATTACTATCCCATAAAAGCAATGAACGTGACAGACACAAAGAAGCACGAATAAGACATAAACTAATACCATGTGAAATCAACAGAACCAAGAAAACAACATACAAAATGACTACACAATGTAAATTGAAATAAAAATTATAATGAAACAATCAAGATTAAATTTATAGTTATGATAACCAAGCTTAGTCCCAAAGAAGAAATATGAAAAGATATCTCCCTCAATTTCTTTGCCAAAATTGGAGTCCAAGAACGTGGAATATTGTATATAATGTGAGACTTTTTTGATATTTTGGCTATTTATAAACACTTTTTAACGTTTTTCCTTTTTTGTTTGTTTTAAGGGGTGGCTGGGGTGGGGCTACAGTGGGAAATGTATATAATGTAAAAACAAAAGATATCAATTAAAATGTATTTAAAAGAAAAAGCAAAGCCCTTTACCAAAATGGCATAATAAAAAGAGAAATTACAAAATATTCCTCTCCCACCATAAAC